GAAGAAGAAGAAGAAGAAGAAGAAGAAGAAGAAGAAGAAGAAGAAGAAGAAGACATTGTACATACATACATGTATTCATAATTATTAACATTAACAACTTAAAGAGCTATGAAAGAAAACAATGCATTCATTTTTATTTTGTACTGCAGAAACTACCCTACACCGTTTTCCATTCATTCACTACTACTATTCTGCTTCCGGTTTTCCTGAGACTGAGAACTGAGAATGAGATTATTGAGAAGACGAAAGTAAAAGTTCAAGTTTCTGAAACGAGTGAAGATTTGTTGTCCTTTATGAGTCAGTTCTTTCAACAGAAGTGTTGAACGTAAAGCTAATAGGCTACTTCCTCTTTCAGGTGAAAACGACCTAAGCCAGCCATGTCTAAAACAGGGAAAACAGTGAAAGGCGCTGTTCCATGGTAAGTTTGTTTCTTGTGTGTTTTTGGTGGGGCCCTGGCCTGGGCGGCTGCTGCACTTTGATCTACATCTAGAGTCTAGATCTATATCTAGATCTAGATCTAGATCTAGATTAGACGACTCGGTACTTATTTTTGTCTTAGGTTAGTGCTTATTTAGTGGTTAAGTTCAATAAAAGTTTAAAGTTTAGCCTGCTGATAACTAGTTAGTCTAGTTAGTCTAGTTGACATGATATGATTTGACCCAAGTTTGAAGCTTGTGGGCAGCCTACCACCTGCCTGTTCTTTGTTGCTAGTCTCTCTTAATTAGACTAATATTAGGTTAGAAGGGAGTGTATACAGACCCGGTAACCGGGAACAAAGTCACAAAGTATACAGACCCGGTAGGGGAAATCTTTTGTGATTTCGGAAAGTTTCAGCGCTCTCTTGACTTGACTCAGGGTAGACCTAGGTTCTTCGATCTAGTTTCGAGGCCGAGGCCGAGGTCTAGATCTAAATTTCTAGATCTATTCTAGACCTAGATTCTAGATCTTAATTAAGATTGCGGGATGTCTTTTCGATGAACAATCGTTTTTCCTCCGTTTTGGAGTTGGATGAATTACAATTTGAAGAAAAGGACTGACAATGTCATTTTATAATTGCAATCGAGCTGTCACCCTCTTTATTTCTCTGTCTCTCTCCCCTCTTTTCTGCCTGCCTCTTTCCCCTCTTTTTCTGCCTGCCTCGAA